ACATTATTTCTTAATTTTATTCTCATATACTTGCACACTCATGGTCTCAAAATTTGTATCAGGATTATAATTTTATTTCACAACAGTGTGTTATTCTAAAGTTCATAAATTTAATTTTTGAATGTAACAAGTAAATTAATTTATGCTGCTGATTTCTAATCATTGTCTTAGGTTTGTTATTCAAGAATGTGCATTCAGTTTTGTGTTGTTTCACCTATATCTTGAAATTTAATACTGTAAACTGAATTGGCAACTAATGTCTATTGTGCAAGTATATGGTTTTATGTTTATTGGATGTGATACATTGCACTGTAAAGACATCTGAAGGTCTGTAAATATTATATTTGCATAAAATCTGTGTGTGTGCGTGCGTGTGTGTGTGCATGCGGGTGCACACATCTAAAGAAATTGCAAAGACGTGTGCATGTATAGTTATGCATACTAATTTGGATTAATCTGAGATTTTTTAGTGTAGTTGCATTTTGCTCTTTTCATCTCCAAAGATGCTATTCCACTACTTGTATTGATATGCAATTCTATATTCTCATAAACATGTCTCAAATATGACTTATTTTAACTATTTTCTTCTTTCTAATGATTGATCCTCAATTCTCATAACGAAAATCCATAATTAGTACAAATTTCAATTACCTTAGTTGACATACTCATTTAAAAACACATCTTGTTAAATTATGGCTGAGGTTCACTTAAAAGATACATTAAGAATGAATTGTGTTATTGAAAATAAAGTATTCAAAGATATGTTGTATAAATTAAAACTCAAAGAAATCTGTTTAACCAATTTATTTCATATTGCTTTCAGAAAAAGATCAATTATACTGCTGATTGTGATATTCAAATTTATTTTAAGCCAGATTGTCAATTTTTTACGTGTAAATCACATTGGTACAATTAACATAGTGTAAAGTATTCCAAAGATATCTATAGATGCACCGTAGAAAGGAAGGTGGAGCTCCTTTCTTGAACTCAAAGGCGAGGAACTTTTTCCTACCTCTAGCCCAGGTGTGATTTTCTTGCCAGGCAGCAGTCAGTTCGCATCCTATGATCGGTGCCCTTTTCATAATGCCAGTTTCACTAGTGCTATCTTCTTTAAAACTTGATGTTCTTGGGCTGAGAATGGGCTGTTGACTGGAAGTTGTGGGGTTGTCATTCCAACTGCTGGCTCATGCTCCGTGGTAATTTATTATTCTTTTTTCTATTCAGTCAAGTCATCTAGGTCATTGGGTCTGAAATTAAATTAATACATGTTGTAGTTTCTGTATTTTAATGCTAGAAATACATTTGATGAGAGATAATTTTTTTTATACTTGTGTGATTGTGTTACTATTTATCACAAGTATAATAATAAATGTGACTATCATAATCAGGAGTACAATTCAACCTGTTATGAACTACATCCTGCAATCAACTGCCCTCTGAAAATGTTTTGTGTATTGATATTGTTGTCTTGAGGTGTGTTTCAACAGTATTCCTTTCAAAAGTGCAGTTTCATTTGTCAATGTTTAAGTAAGACCATCTCCAAATTTTTCTGAAAGCTCATGTTCGAAAGAAACACACTTGATCTTTCTGTACTGGCATGAACTTTCATACTAGCTTTCAATGGGTTGTTGCTGTGTAATTTTCTGTGATAATTTGTGAACAGAGTACAAAAATGACTGAAATGTTCTTTTGCTTAACAGACATTTTTCTTGCTTTCAGGTGATCTGAATGTTGCCCATGACATTACTGCTGATACAAAAATTGAACCACAAACTGCTGTGGTGTTCGATGAGCTTGGAGGTATGTTAAAAATAATTTTTTCATCCACTGGTTTGTGAATGATAATAAATGTAATTTGGACACCTGAATTAACACTAGAACAGTGGCAAATTTGGCATTCCTAGGAAAGCAGGAAGGGGTCATTTTGATATCTAGAGAAGGATGTACGATGATGAGGGGTGAAAGAATGATCACAAATACATCCATGCCCGTGGCGGAATTCGAACCCGCGATCCAAGATCGCCATGATACTACTGCCTTCGTGATCTTGGCTACCCAGATTGGCCCTGTCCTGTTAGTGGGTAGTAAAGCAATATTTCTTCATGTGGTGAAATGTTCCTCCTGGTGCCATCTTCTTGTCGGTCTGCCTGTATCCCTCTTGCCATTCAGTCTATAATTTAATGCCATTCATGATAGAAGTCGTTTTACCATTCTTTTCACCTGTTTTCTCCATTTTCTTTGGTAATTTTTGATTGCTTTTGTTAAGTTTCCTGTTTTCAGTTATTTCCTAATTGTTTCATTTTGAATTTTTTCTCTTCTTGTTACTCCCAATACTACCCTTAGAAACTTCACCTTCTATGCTTCTGGTTTCCGTTATGCCCATTATCCACATTACTGAACCATACTTTAGCATTAGTTTTGATGTTATATTATGAATTATCATCATTGATTTTTTTTCTCATATGTTCAAAATGTTTCTTTATTATTCCATTATTTATATTATATTTTTGTATTTTTTCTTCTATATCGTTTTGGTTCAATCCAGTTGAATTTCTGAGATATTTAAAGATGGTAACTTGTTCAGTTATTGCATTTTCTATTACTATTTTGGCTCTAAGATGTTCTTTACCATAGAAATCTAGTGTTTTAGTTTTCTGGCTTGATATTTTCATTTGGTTTTCTTTGCTTATTTTACTTTATGACTTTGTGGTATTTGACTAAAGGACTATACATATATATGCAAGCTTTCCACAGCATTTGACCAAAGGACTATGCATATATATGCAAGCTTTCCACAGCTTTGTGCACTTGCAGAAATTGCTGGTTTTGTTGCCTTTGCACAAGGCACTTGTACTTCTGATTAATTCACTCGTTTCATTTCAATAGATAGTTGAAGAACAAACTTTTTTCAGTTTAGTTAATTTTTTAAATTTTATTTTTTTTGATTAGTTACATATTAGATAATGTATTATATATTGAGGAAAACATGCTTCAGCCATCTTTTGCATGGTTCTTTAGTGCAATAGTAATTTGATATACCACGTCTATCCCATGTTTTGTGTCATAGAGTGTCATAGTTTCAGGATCCCTTTTTCCCCTTCCATCACCGACAGCTACTTCACAATGATGTGTGTTGAGAGAAGCATGATGTTCGTTTTCTTCTTTGATTGAAATACTGTCAACTTGCAGAGTGTGTTGCAAAATAAGACAAATGAATTTCAGCATTTCGTTTCCAACTCATGAGGGATTTCGGGACAGATCAGGTTGATTGTTCCCATCATTAACATTATCTTCTTTTTAAGCTTTTTGCAAGTTGAAGGGATGTGAAAAATTTGTCACTTGTTACTTTTCACCCTTCGTTAGAAATGGTTCCATGAGACAGTAGGAAAACAAATTCACCATGGTGTATTTGATTCAATATGGTTGCTTATTTGGTCAAGCATCCTCTTTAGCAAGATATGGGAAGCATTGCGTAAGTACTTCATTGATACATTAGCTGTGATCCAGTCTTTGTCTGTATTTGACGGGTTTGTTTGGCATAAGCTGGGTATTTTTGCACCTATTTTTGCAACAAAGTTATTTCTCATTGATTGTTATATTTTTAACTAGGCAATGGCAATAAATGCAATATTATACAAATCTTCACATTTCTGACACCAGTAATCTGTGAAGCTCATAAATTCTTTCTCTGGACATTGTGACTGTTATGAATTTTGGTCCTCATAAGCAGAACAAAAGATAATCACTAAAATATATTTTCCACAAAAACACCCTTGTGCTCGATGCTGATCATTGCCTTCAACTGTACGAGAGACACTGCCCAATTGTTGATTTTCAATTCTTTTCATGTTTCTGATTTGGTATGATTCTTCACGAGGTTGAAACATTGATTCATCTAATAATAAATGGAAGGAACTTATTACAGATGCATTTGTTTGGTGACATGCCCACATGTGGGACCACCTGGTTCTTTCAAGTCATGCACAGAAGCTCTTCTTCCACCTGACGAGGTGTTTTCGCTAATGACCGACCTTCAACTTGGTTCCATTTCAGGCAACCATTTTGATCCTTAAAGCTGCTCATGTTGAGATTGAGGTGAAGAATGAGCTACATCAACACTTGCATCTTCTTTCGCTGTCAATTCACCACTTGAACTCCTGGCATCAACTCCACTATTCCTCGGCAAGAAATTCTCATCTGAATTGAATAAATAAATCACTTCCTGTCTCAAAATCAGAATTTTCTAGCATATGGGACAGCTCATCAACAGAGAGGCTAATTGAACCCAACATTACGACTACACAAGCTAAAACAAGCTTGCAAGGAAACTAAAATGAGAAAAATTGATACTCCTTGTAACTTGCACTCGTTTTATTCTTTGCTTTCTACAAAGGATAAAAACATAAAGTAGTGGCGACAGTAATCACCTCAATATTTGGTGTAAACTATATTACAATAAAGACAGCAACATTCCTGATCGAAAGCGTTATCTACTATTCTGTGATAGCGATACTGTAATATCATTTTAACGATTAGAAGGAACAAATAAAGCTCTAGTTCAGCATAATGTTGTACTATGTGAAATAATCTGAGTGTCAAAATGATCCCACCCGCTGTTCTAGGCACTGCATGTGATAATAAAAAAGAAAAAAGTATTTTATAGATTGCAATATAACATTAAGGAGAATAAAAATTAGGAAAGGTCGCAATGTTGTAAACAAATCACCTGAAAACAAGAGTTCATCATTGAAGGAACTATTGATGTAGGTTTCGTTTTGACACCTAGGACCATTCTAGTGTTAAACAATATTTCTTTTCCTTTCAATTTAAATGTTTTTGTTGTAGGTATCCAAAATCAATTTAGATATTTCAAGCTATGTGTACTGAGAATTAGAAATAATTTTCTTATTTCTCTGCAAGTGTTGAAAATCAGTAAAATTATGTGAGATTTTTATGTATTGAATTTAAGTGTTGATATTAATGTGTGTTTTCTTTCTTAGATGTTTGGAAAGAGGCAAAGGCTCCTAAAAAGAGCAAGAAAAAAGTTCGCAAGGATCAGTGAGACAATAGTGGGGAGATGCAATGAGACTCTGTCCGTCTTTTGAAGATGAAACAAGAGTTATTTTTCTATGAGCAAGTGAGCATGATCAATAAGTTATAGCTTCCAGTGGTGGATTCCAAGGCCTATGAGCTAAGATATTTGTTGTGACTGTAACATGCAGAAACAATATTGTTCCCACCTTACAATAATTTTTTTAATGTTCCGGGTCTGTTTACATCTTACCTAGTATGTGCAAGGACTCACTTACATGTGTGCAAATATTGGCATGGATATGTGTTGTTCACAGGACAATGCATATTTGCATTAATGCATTGTTGTTCAATCAGACACACATTCCTTTCATGTAAGTGGGTAAGTGCACTTGGGGTACATGTATGTGAGTTAATGTATGTTTGTGGTAAATCTTATGTGCAAAAGATTGTAAGACTTTCTGTAATCTGAAGGCGTTTTTATTTGATGATGAATATATATTTATAAGTTTTTGTTTCCTTGGTGCCAATGATAACAAAAAATTTAATAATGTTGTTATTGGTGTTGTTGATGTTGTTGTTGATGTTGTTGTGGTAAAATGACTTATAAACATGGGTGTTTTGGACATCAGTTGCAGTCTTACCATTCCATTGGGGAAATCAGTCAAATATTTAAATAACATGGTGCAGGAAAATGAGTATTTTGTATTATTTGTATTAAACATAAATAATTTAATATAAAAAATGCATTACGATATGACCAAATAATGAGAAAAATCAAGAAAATGTATGACATAAGTATGTAATTATAAAAATGTATTACAATATGGCCAAATAATGAGAAAAATCATGAAAATGTATCACAAATTATAAGTATGTAATTATAAAAAATGCATGATAATATGACCAAATAATAAGAAAAATCAAGAAAATGTATGACATATTATAAGTGCATTGTGTGTTGTGAATATTTATAAATTTAAATGACAGTGTAATACACAGAGATTATTGTACTCTAGATTTAATGAACAACTTGTGAAATATAAATAACTAAGAATTATAGAAAGGCTATAGCCATTATTATTGGCTGAAAGCAAGACACCAACTCAGAAATTATGTGGTGTCTATAAACGGCAGTGGTACTTGTCTGCAAGTAAAATTGATGTGTGTTAATTTCTCAACAAACTGCTCCTCATGTGTCATTACAGTGGCTTTATTGTAATAGTAGAGGGGTGTTGTCTTGCATACTGTCTTGTATGGTTCATTTTTTCTTTGGTATGTTAAAGAGATTAATTCATAAACTTAATTATGGTTTGGATGAAAATAGACCTAGTTCCTAAAACTTTTTTTCCTTTTTTGTTCCTATCTTTTCTGTTTTCATCAAAAAAAGGAGGTGACAGCATTGGCATTAGTCATAGCACCTGCAGGCAACAGCTGGAGCAAATGATCTGCTAGGTGCAGATTCTTTCCAAGATAGTATTGAAAAATGAATAATGTTCTTGTGCATTATTTATTCCAGAGAAGCTTGCATAAATTTATGTAACCAATTGATAATTATGGTTAATCACTTGCATCACATTTACTGCCATTGCAAACTTATGTCCAAATATATTAACGGTGAATTTGACAAAATTTCAGTTGTATCCATCAAAATAAAATACTAATTGATATGGTGCTTTAATATGTTACATGCAAATGTGGTAACTAAAGCCAACTAGCTTGAAGAAACTAGTGGTGATATACTGTGATGGACTTGCATGTTTCTCTTGCATATCTTACAATTCAGGTGTCAGAAAATCCTGATTTTGTATTTATTTCATGTGTTTTTATTCATATTACATCAGTAAAAGTCTGAGAATATATGGTACTCTGTGCAAGGAAGTTCATTTTGATGTAAATTTTTGTAGCCAGCTGTGAAAACTGTATCCAAAAACAAGTTATAAGATTTCTTTTGATGTCCCAAAGTTGTTTGTGCGTTCATTACAATCTGCTTCTCAGTCGCCAACCTGTACTTAATATTTATAATCAGAATAGCAATAATAAATTTATTGCAACTCATTTCTGCATGTATAATGTATACAATATGCCAAGAGTTCACTCCTTTGATTTCTAAAGCACAGCTTTACGAACTAGTTTTGTATTTCCTTATCACAAACCAGAATCTATTCCAACAATGCTTCATAATCTTGGCAAGTTCTAGTTACATACGTCTGACAAATGTTTGAGGTTCCCGTGAGTGGATCATGGTGATGTTTGACTTTCCTGTGAAGAGAATGTTCTTTAATAGCTTACTAAATCGCACAACCTCTCAGGTGTGTTATTTGGATTCACCTACCCACATTCACAGATGATTCAAAAGTGCATCATAATTGTATTAACTTTGTAGTGGTAACGTTGGGTCTACCAGACCCAGTGTAAAATTTATTTTAACATATCTTCAAATAGAAACTCTGCATTAAATTGAATTTTCGTGTACCTTTCAAAATAATGATTTTCTTTTGAATTATAATCAATACTATAAGTGTGTCATTGTTGAGTGAAAGAGAAATTTGTGGTGTTAGGTAACTGTTGGGTATAACACTCATCGTTACATATATACTTCTTTCTACAATGATTAGACTGTTAGCACTAGATTTCTGAGTAGTGTGTGGTGGCTTTATAGATTGCTAGTGTTTTACTCAGATATGATTGAAAGATGGATGTTAGAGTAAGTGCTAAATGCATCTAGTGAACATTAAGATACATAACGAGATTTCTGTTTATAGTGAGTACTATACTGATAGTGAGGCAGAAGGTACACAGTGAAACAATGAATATTGATACCAATTTCAATTCACAGTCTTAGAAAAGTTCAATACAACTAAATGGAGGAAAGTAGTAGGCAATATAAATATTTGCATACATTGCAGCAACATTATTCCTACATTTTACCAGTGGTGCCACAGTTCACAATAAAAGCTCAAGCGAAGATATGTTGTGTGATGATTTTGTCTCAAGATCACTTGTATTTTGTTTTATTTCTCGTCTGGAATAAATATATTTTGCTAAGAAAGAATAAAAATTAATTTCTATTAACAATTCAGAAGAAATAATTGAATGGGTCTCTCAGACCCAACGTTACCACTGTATGGTTAATATTTATACATCACTTGGGGGAAAGTTTCTGCTACAATAAGTTGGAAGTGAGTTTTTCATTGTTTATTCTTCAAAACATTGGTGGCAATTGTAGAAACATTGATACACTTTTGAAGTTTTCTGTTATATTTTGAGTTCCTGTTATGGAATTGATTTTGAACTGTTTTGGAAACATGATGTAGCAAGGACTTATGAATTTCTCGTTCCTGTAAGTCAGATCTGGAGCTTCATTGACCTCAAAATACATATTTTTTCTAGATACTTTTATAAATTTGTACAAATACCAACATTTCATCTTGCATAGGATATTATCTTGGCCTGCTTAAATTGTTAGTTCTATTGTCATTCAGATGAACTCATAACTTTCATTTCAGAGTTTTGTCTGTAGCCAAATCAATCATTCATTCTAGTCTTTTCTGTTCTCAATATCCTATGAGGAGATAATATTCTAATTGTGAAGAAGAATATTGTAAAACTTATAAAAGAGCATGGTACAATTGTGTAAATATTTATGTAGTTTCCTTTGTTATATATCCAATTATTCAATTTGCAATTGATATGGTCAAGATTATTAACGATTGTTATAAATTTTTGGTTTAAATGGGTTGTGAAATATCCATAAGTCGTTGAAAAGGGGCTTAGCAGAAGTAACCCTTCCTTCTTTGAGTATTTATTTATCACAATCATCTATGAGAAAGGAAAAGATATGAATTCTACCAAGTAGGCAGTTGTTGTATTGACATCATTGTTACACCTTTCTGCCCTCATAGTTGACTGTGAAACAAAACTTTCTTTCTTTGCTCATTAGTGAAAGTTAAAAAAAAATTAAAAATTCTTACACCTTTTCAAGGTTGTTCATGACCTATTTAAGAATTTAAAACATTGCAATTACATATCGTTATTTTGAGATATAAAGTTTTGTATGAACCCAGGTATGTTTGTCTCTCTGGGTTCCACAAATGGTTTGTGCTGAGACAGATTTAATTTTTCAATGGTTTATAATTAAAACATAAAAATGGAGTTTAAGATATTAATTTAATGAACAGTAATATTTAAATAAGAAAAATGAATATGTTTTGGTTGCAATTACATATTTTATTCAATGCAAAACTTGGTCTAATTGAAAAACAAGAGACTAAGACCAAAAATATTATGATATTAAATGTAGATTACATTTAAAATTGTAATATTAAAAAAATTACTTAAATTTGAAGTTTAGAAAATTTCTTTGGTGGAATGGGAGAAGAAAAATCAGGTTGTTTACTTTTTCCAAGATGTAACTTAGTTTTAGCAAATGTGGACCTTCCCAAAATGAACTGGAAAACTTATACCTGAAGGTCTCTTGGTTGTCTTTGAGTTGACAAGCAACTCAGTGTACCAATGAGGTTATGTGGAATATCAGTCAATTAGCATTCAAAACTTCTTTATTCCACCTGTAATACATTGATTTAAAGAATGAATTGATTAAAAAATTTAGTGTTTTGGCTTCATGTAGGCCAAACTAGAGGATAATTTAGCAATGTTCAGATGTAAATTACTATTACAGAAACTTTCCACAACTTAAAACAAAAATGTTCTATGTTGCACTTGTAACCACAACAGCACAACACAATTATGTTGGCAGAGAGGCAACCTAAAATGCAATGTACTAGCGCCATCACTACTACACACATTTCTGTTTCCAATTTTCAGCCCCTTTTCTCACTGTACCGTGTGTCATGTACTATTCCCACTCCAACACCCTTATGCTCTATCTCCTTGCTCTGCCCCTCCCATATCCACCACACACTACCTTGCCTAGTTCTGCTCCAACCATGCTCCACAGTCCGTAAATGCTTGGCAGATTGCATTAATGCAGATAATGTTAAAAAAATCTCTTCAATTCTTATTTCATCCCTTTCTGGTATGTATTTTGAAAAATGCTCTCTTAGTGTTACATACATCATAGTAACCTATATTTTACATTTCTACTTTCACTAGTTTTATTTGTGAATTGGTCAGTCAATATCTCCTCTTTTGGAAAATATGATTCAGACCAAATCGACTTTCTAATTCTTTTTTAATCCAGTATAGTGCTTCCAAGCATTGGTAAGTGGCAACTCTAATGTACTGAAGGCATCATTATTGAAAGGAAATTGCATAATTTGCTTCATTTTATTAGTATATGATATTGTAGTACGTTTTTTGTCTTCTACATTTTCATATGGTTCTATTTGTTCATTTCAAGTTATGTCAATTGGATGGAACAGTTTGAACTTTCAGAAGCACAGGCAAAATTTGAGCCTTTGACAATAATAAAGGAATTTCTGCATCTGTTAACTATAATATGCTACATTTTACCCAGTGGGCCCTTGGAAGATGCTTATTGGATTTATGTAGATTGCAATTGTTTGAACTCAACATTAAAGACATATATTTATCTATTGGGGATATTTAAAATTCACTGGAAATTTGGTCCTTCGGATATGAGGGGCATTCTAAAATATTAAAAGATTATGAAAAAATCCATAAATAATGTGGTTTCTTGCCAAGATTGGAATTCTTTTACTTATTTTTGTGAGGTTTTGCAGAAGTTACAAACTCCTATTGAAAGTATCACATCTGATACTTTAATTTACTTCATTCCCATTATTAGCAAATTTGTTTTGTGTTAGTATCTGGTTATTAAAGCTAAGAAAATTTTGAAGTCTAAAATGATGGATTTGTGTGAAATTCTGAATCAGCAATAACTAGCAATAGTAAACACGCAAGTAATTACTATCAACATTTTGAGATAATTATTAGTTTTTTTAAATCCTGATGTACTGTATGCTTCAATTATAAAGAAGCAGAAAGTATAAATGATTTTATTTTCAAAAGAAAATCATATCTGATTGCCAACTTTTGATTAGGTTTAACTTGTTGCAACTTAGTTCATAAATGACAGTGAAACAACATTATTTCAATGACTATTAATCACTCTAACATTTAATAAACTAAAACTCACTTTGTCACAAAAATATTGAGATAGTATAACATATGGGTTTCTGAAAAGAATAATTAGTGCTTCAACAGCATACACTTTCTCAGATTGTTGTAAATAACATGTGATTTTATTTATTGCACATCAACTAGCACTTCATCCACAACTAACAAAAGTAAAGTAAAGCAAACAATATTTCAAAATTACATGAAAACTACAAATATTTTGAAACAGCATACATAAATTTATTGAAAGATCTAGAGTATTTCAGACACGAAAAAATTGAACTAAAGCTTCGAAGATGAAAACTATGCCATTCTTGTCCCTTGTTCTAACAGCAGAGAAAAATTAAGAAAAAAATTGGAGCTTTTCTTTTTTTTTTATTGCCATTAACTTGTAGAAGAAATTGTGTGAAAACAACTTATTTTTTCAGAAAATTTTACATGAAATTTTTAAAGGTCTGATTTTTAGAACTGAAGGTCTGAATTATTTTCTAAAAAAATAAGTCGTGCTACAACTTATATATATATATATATATATATATATATATAATATATATATATATATATATATATATATATATATATATGTTATAAACTATAATATGATATAAACAACAGATTTATTAAAGGAACAAATATTCAATCACTATTATAGGAAGGTGTAATATATGCGCAATTTATGAAAAGCCAGGTTTTTCAGCGGAAAAGAGTCTGATTCATTTTTTTTTTTTTTTTGAGCGATCCTTAAAGTTAATTTTTAAAATATGGAACCATTTCTGAGAAAATTTTTAAAATGTTGCGGCATCTTATAAAGTTTCACCCCAAAATCAAAATATACGTTTCAAACTCGCAGCACCTCGTATTCCTTTATATCGTTTCGACAAAATTTATCCACTTTTTCGTTACCAGGGTCGGGGAATAAGAGTTTTTCTGTCAACAAATTAGCCGTTTTGCGGCGCACAATTACAATACTTCCTCTTCCTACGAAGTAGGGCGAGAAAGTAAAAATATAACCACATCATGATGTTTTAAATGTTAGATCGAGCTAAGTGTTCCGGTAAAAGTCTCTTCAAATCACTGGCGCTACCAGGC